TCTCAAGACCTTTAATCATTCTTGTTGCTCTTCTCTGGACCCTTTCCAATTTCTCCACATCTTTTTTAAAGATCTGATTGCCCTTTTTGCTGACATTAGTAAACTTTTCTGCATCTCAAAAACAGCAGGACCTCAAGGTCACGAGAACCTTAAAATGCACTCACGTAGGAACGGGGTTCCCTTTGGCTTCACAGTCAATGAAGATGTTATCCCTTGGGTCTACAATATAATCCTTCACAGACTGCTTTGTAATCGTGGGAGGCTGAGGCACTGCAAAGGACACAGAAAGGAAAAAAGAATGAGGAGAAACCCTTTACTCATTGTCCTGCAACGGAATCCTCCTGGGAATTGAGACTTCCCGTAGGGGGATTCACTGTTTATATTCATTATCTTTGAAATTTCAGGTGTCAGTAAAAAGACCCTTCAAAATGTAAGAGCCGCATATTTCTCATCTAAATGACTTAAGCTCCCTGGTCAGGCAGTTCCCCGCCACCAGCAGGCCATCTGATGTGAACTAAAAATTAAAAAAAAACTCTTTATGAAAGAGACTGAACATGACAGCAAATCTTAGCTAAGGGCTTTCAAAGACAGAACACAAATGTACGTGTTTTACCGAAAAGTTCCTGCAAGGAGCCATCAAGGTAGAACACATTCAAGACAATGGTTTGAAAACTTCCATGTTTAGCCAGAGATAGTTCCAGATTGGTATCTAGGAGCGAAGGGTTTGGAAAGACTAAAGAACATACCAATGACCAGTTTAGGGTCAGGTTCTGAGCCATTACTCTGGAGCTACACTGATGTTAACCATAGAGACTTCAACAGATTTATCCCCGATTTGCACCAGGATAACTGGGGATCAGAATCTGAACCCTTGTCTCTTACCCCAGGAACTGGAAATAGCTTAAAGAGGAGATACTTGTTCATTACTAATTTGGTATAGGAAATTGATCTGACATGCATGTCCATTATTTAGTAGGGTCGGCAAAACAACAGATGCAGTTCTCCTCTGAAACAGACTTTTAGCAATAATTCTCCACAGAGTTAGTGTTTGTGTTGCAAGATTAAGCTTTTGCTGGGACATGATAGCTGCTTTATTAGAACTGAAATCTCCTTAGAGCAGCGGTTCTCAAACATTCCCACAACATGATCCCCACATTATGGATTACAATTTCCCTCCAGTCTAAGGTCCACTTCCCTCACAACAGGATGCAATTCAAGGTTAGCTTCCCCTCTCTCCCCCTGCAGAACATTTCTGACTCCATCTTCTCTTTGCTGCTATTCCCTGTAGCAGATCATCTTGCAGGGGACACTTCTGAGCATATCTGTTTTGCTAGTGTCCTCTCTGGTTCTGGTTGGGCTTATTTCCTGTCCGCACATCTCTTATGTACAGAAAAGGAATCGACATGGGGCTAACTAAGGCCGGATTCCTCTTAATCTGGGAGTATGGGGGGCAATGAATCTAAGGCAGGGTGTAGAATAGAGTACAGCAGACTCCCTATCCCCTTCCCTTCAGCTAACAGCACAACCTGGCTTCTTACCTACCCATTCCTCTCTGAAGGTGCCAAAGGAGGGGGAAGAGCCAGGCTGCTTAGGAGCTGAGATACACAATCATCTCTGAGCTACGCAATGAGACAGAGGAAATTCTATTGCTACCCTTACAGCAGATCTATTCCCCACAATCCAGAGTTCATGCCCTCTGCACACACAGCAATTCAAAGGAGACATTGTGCATGCCAGGAGAACTTCAGGCAGATTTCAAATTCAAGGGCACCAACTGCCCACCGCTGAAGAGGAAAGAGGAGAGCTATGTTGGACAGGAAGGGGGAAGGTAGGGAGTTAGGTTGGAAGCAGACAAATGGTGGTAGGAGGATAGTGGAAAAAAAAGTGAGAATCTCATTGCAGGATAGAATTGGAAATGAGTCCTTATAAACCACCATTAAAAAAGGATAACCTCTCTGAAGGTCTCCACCTACAGTTTGAGAACCGCTGCCTCGAAAGAAGGTCTGCTGTGTCTGGCTGTGGTCCATATTTGCAGTCTGACCTACATTGTGAATCCACTCATCTGCACGAGCCATTAGAAGCATCTGCAAATTAGGGCATCAGGTTCCAGTTTTGTACTGGCCCCGATTTAAAATGAGGAGCCAGACTCTGATCTAGTGTAAATCCAGAGTAACTCTGTTAGAGTCCATGCACTTATGTTGGCATAATGCAGATCAGAATATGGTCCCAGGAGGGGGCCCTTTTAGAGGCAGCCCTGGTTTAGAATTGTCCAACCATTTGCAGATGTCTCAGCCAACTGGCCTACACACGGATGCAGTGGATCAGACAGTCCGAGGAGGCAGGGGGGTGGCAAGACTCCCCAATCTCCAAGGAACAGCTCATGCTCTTAAAATCTGTATCTTCCAACAGAGTCTGCTTTCATGGATGCTGTTCCTGCCTTGCCATCACAAGCCATTCAGATTGCTCCTACCAGCGGGACTAATATATAAAAAACAAGACAGGGTAGGACTTACATTCATTCTGAATATTTGCTGTTAGTTCCGAAGTGTAAGCATTATAAAAAAAGAAACAAAAAAAGGTTAATTGAAAAAGAATCCAACGGATTACATACGCAACATGGCTATCAAAGGGACTACAAATATATCAATATCCAAACATGGCCACTTTAGAGTAAACAACGTAAATGCCTTCTAGCCCACTTACCTTCATTTAAACACGGGAAAATCCCTCCATCAAAAACATGATTCTTTCATATTCACAATGAGGATTACATGTTCACAATGAGGATTGTGTGTCACAGGCCACTTGCCCCCAACCTGCCTTTTAAAAACTGCACATGTGAATTTAGTGAGGTTGAATGGTAACAGATCGGCAGCTCTGGAGACTAACGGGCTAAGCTTATCCATGAGATCAGCACAGAATGGGCACTGCCAGAGCAAACGTCTTACCCCATTGCCACCAATATGCCCTATCCCAGAGTTGGATGGATCGCCTTTAAGGATAAGATAGCAGTTCAGTCTCTCTGGGCAAATTCCATCCTTGGCCTCGACTGCTGTGACTGCCAACAAGGAGGCCGCAGGTGCCGACTGTGGTGGTGATGGGTTAGAGAGATGCTTTTCCGCTAGGCACTAGACTGCAAACCAATGACCGCACATCAGGATAGTGTCATTGGATAGTGGTAACTTGTGATCCCTAACCAGGTCTGGGCTTCAACTGGTGGCAAATTCAAAAGCCAGTTACTGAGCCCCTTAGGCCAGCCCTCCAGGCAATCAGGGAGCAGGTGTAGGGTTTAATAAGTCTTGATTTGGCTAACTAAGTAAAAGCCCAAAGCAACCCAGGCACCTGTAAGACGTAGTGTCTGACCAAGAGATCAAAAGGCATCTTAATTGCCAAGGGAGACATCATGCCTAATGTACCTGCCTCCCCACAGCCCTGCGTCAGGGTCTGCCTCCGGGTACCAGTGTTTATTTCCAGAGCTGAACCATGAGAGGTCTGTTAAGTTCTTCATTTAGGTGTTTAAACAGATACTTTAAGCTGTTAGCAGCTGGCTCTCTGCCAAGACCTGATGGACCACCGGGGCAGGGTGAAGGGGGACAAGGAGGCAGTTCCGTCGCCTGGTTGTAAGAGCTGAACCACCAGAAGCTTTCCCAATGTAAAGAGAAAGCTGAACACAGCAAATGGGGAACAAACCACTGACTGGCCAGCCAAGCATATGGAAGATACCGATTCCAAGCAGGAGGAAATGAGTGCTAGCAGAATGGTCCATGGTAGGGTGATCACATGTCCTGATTTTATAGGGGCAGTCCTGATATTTTGGGGCTTTTTCTTATATAGGCACCTAATTTACACCCCCTGCCCCAATTTTTCACTCTTGCTATCTGGTCACCCTAGTCCATGGACGACTTCCTTCCTCCCCATGGTGCATCACTGTTGTGCTGAGATGTGACACTTGCACTGTCCACACATCATAGCGGGAAGCTCTAGCTCCATATTCAGCAATGACCACATGAGACTTTGGGCTCAGTGAGCAAAATTCGATAGAAGAAGGGAGCAGAAGAGTCTAGGAAAGCCTTTGTTTAGAAAAAAAAGTGGAAGAAAAATAATCCTGTGCAAAATAACCAAGTTACTCAATAGCAGGGAGACTTTTCCTTGTGGTAGACGTGTTTGTAGAGCACCTAACACAATGAGGCACTGATCCTGGACGGGCCTCTGGACACTACTGTAACACAAGGTGAGAACCACAGGGTTCATTTTAGAGGGACCTAGTTAGGCTTTTAAGGAGAGTCACGGATTTATTTGGATTTTTAATGGTCTTGGTTTAGTTGCTTATCGTAACTTGTTATATTTCTTTACACATTTTATTGAAAGCAATAAGCAGGTAAAAATAAAACATTATTAAGGCTAAACTATTATACCTTTTGTTAAGTTAACAAAGGGTTAAATAATACAATTCTATTAATGTTATAAGGTTAGAATTCATTTAAACTAAAAGACAAGTATTATTCCAATATATGCTATGTCTTTTCCAACAAATAAAAATTAACAACGTTGCCTATAATACAAAAACAAAATTGGTTTAAGAAATAATTTGGAGGGGTGAGAAGACGACGTGCAAAAAACATATTTTAAATGATAGAGCCATAGTTTGGTAGCGTTAAGACCCTTCAGTGCCACAGTGGTTCATTGATTGATTGCATGAGCTATGCGTTATTAAACGGTTCACCCCAGGATCTCTAAATGCAGTAATGTAACTATTCTAACGCAGCTAGATAACAAAAGACATATGTTAATAAAACTTTCCTCTTTATGGTGCTTTGAATCTTCAAAACCCACTAATTTGTTTACAACACTCGTCACACAGTAAGAGTATTATCCCCGATATTACAGATGGGGAAACTGAGGCAGACGGGGCAGTGACTTGCCCAAAGTCACAGCGAGTCAGTAATCGAGTTGGGAAAAGAACATCGGTCTCCTGACTCCAGGGGTGAAAGTGAGCCAGTACTGCGTACTGGTAAGAAGCCGGTACCAGCCCGTACGCAGCCCACATTAAAGTGCTGCCACGTTGAAACGCTTTAACGTCGCTGCCCCTTTTGCGCCCCCCCTTCGGCGGCCCTGCTGGTACGGTCCTTACCGGCAGGGCCGCCGATGGTGGGGGGAAGGGGCAGCAATGTTAAGGCACTGCCATGGCAAAGAACCTTGCTTAAAGCGCTGCTGTGGCAGCACTTTAACGTCATTGTCCCTTTTGCCCCCCACCCGGCCGCCGACGGGGGGGTGGGCAAAAGGAGCAGCTGCCCCGGGGCTGGCGATTTAAAAGGGCCCGGGGCTCCGGCCGCGCAGCAGGGGCCAGAGCCCCAGGCCCTTTTAAATTGCCACTGGAGCCCTGGCCGGCGTGAGCCAGGTGGCGTGGAAGGGCTGGCTGGGGGGTGCTGACCCCCCCCCAACCCTACCCCTTCTGCAGGCTGGAGCCGGAGCCGGCCCTAGCCCCGTACCGGTAAGTTTTCGGAGTTACTTTTACCGCTGCCTGACTCCCAGTCTGCTGAGCTAATCACTAGCAAGCCCTGCCTCCCTATTGCTATAAAGGCTGAAGAGTGAAATACTTTACCTCTCCACGATTCCCTTTGCACCGTCTTAAACTTGACTGCAAGGGATGCTCAAACTGGACACCCAACCCACTAGTAGCTGTGTTTGCAAGCTCTCTGAGAGGGAGCTTCCCAGTTAAAGAGGTAGTGTTCCCCATCTATGGAGATTTCCTACAATACACATCCATGCACCTGTAGAAAGAGCTTATCCCCATGACGGAGGGAAGTCCTGTGCAGTTTGTAATACACAGGGAATAAAGCTCATCGGCTCAGACAGCTCGCAATTTGCACACTTATCAGGGCCCAGCACTGTGGAGCAGCTGTAGCCATTTATGCACCACCTGCTCGACTTAGTAAAACCTGTAACCTTTCACATTCAAGATGGGAGTGATGAATTCATTAGTTAAGTCTTGGAGCTCAACAATGGGAAGCCACAAAAGGGCTAGCGAGACCTGATCACTGACTGGGTTAAAAGTGAGATTAAAACGCCAACTCCCCAGCAGCTCTAAAGGCTTCATCAGAAGGAGAACGGAGCTCACGCTTGATGCCTTCAAAGAGTTAAATGAAACTATCTGAAATGGGCTCAGCTGGGTGGGACAGATGTTGGCAAGACCTTTAACTCCTGCATTGATTTGGGACACCCCACTTTTGGATTTCATCCCACCACAAGTCACTGTGGCGAGCGACAACACTTTGAAGTTTGCTACATTGTGCAGAGTTCATTTGAATTTCCTTAAAAGAAGATAAATTAGGCAAAGACCGGCACACCCTGCCCCAGAGCCTGGCTTCCCCTTTGTTTTCTCATCTGGCTACATGCAGTCACACAAGGGTCCTGTCTAAATAGTGGTTACGGTAGTACAATATGGTTGTTGGTTTCAAACGAAGCCTGGACAGGGTCAGAAAGGGAAATGCTGTCCCTCAAGAGCGGGGGCAGCTTTATGGTTAAGGCACACCAGTGGGGTATCCTTGGCTCTTTTCCTTGCTCTGCCAGAGGCACTATGGGCAAGGCACCATGGGCAAGGCACCATCTACACTAGCAAAACTATCGTATCAGTGGAGCTGGAGAGGGGCCTGGTGTTATAATTTATTGTCCAAGGATATTTATGGTAGATAACAGAGTTTGTCCCTGACAGCATAGCTAGGACAAGAGTATATTAACAATCAGAGCAGTAAGCAGAGTTTGGTCATGTCTACACAAGCAATATCAACTGGCTTATGACACCATCCCTAGACATAGTTTTGCTAGTGTAAAATGGATCCTGTTCCCTGTCAGCAAATGGCAACTCACTTTAGTATCCATCTTAGGTATTTATAGAGTGCCAGTCACCTTTGTACATAGGCATTGAACATAGCAAAGTAAAAACATCATAAAAGTAAAACAAGGTATTTAAAACTACCTCTGCTTCCGCAATTCTTTCCTACCTCCCGGGTGGTGGTGTGAGGAACAGGCGATAGGCGCTTTAAGTTCCTTAGATGGGAGGTAGTGTAGAAACAGAAAGTAATATTCCACAGCACAAGTTATAAGCATTTCTCTCTACTTTTCTAAGGTCGCATTACACTTGAGTAGGCAAAATGACTCTTTCCTCCATCCAAGGCACAAGGAACAGCAGTAGGAAGCTCTTTTAAAATCAAATAGGTTTTGTCTGGCCGTGCTGCTTCTCCTTCCGTTTCAGGGAGCTTACATTTCTTAAAGGGCTCTAAGTTCTTAACAAAGCAGGACCTGATAAGTGTCACAATCAAATCGTGTGCGCAAAATACATTCTCATTGTTGGGAACAACAAAGTGCAGTGAGCATGTTACACCACCACCAACTGCAGCTACACAGAGTTTTTCATCCCAGATCACTCTGAATTAGGTGGAGCAGGGACTTGAGCACTGGGCCCTGGTCCCAGGCTAGGACCCTATTTACCAGGCTCCAGAAGACAATGAGGGAAGAGTGTGCCTGTCCGACTCTCTTTTGCTCTCAAACCTTCCCAATGAAAACGGTTGTCAAAACGGATACATTTAGAACAGCCAGCCTATTTCACCACCAACTGGCTGGCAGCAGTGGCCTGTGTGTGACCTGCATGAAAGCTCAGCTGAGGGTCCATCCTTGGGAGCTCAGACCCACATCTCTCATTCTGAAACCCAGCCCTGGATAGCTCAGTGGTTTGAGCATTGGCCTGCTAAACCCAGGGTTGTGAGTTCAATCCTTGAGGGGGTCGCTTAGGAAATCTGGGGCAAAAGCAGTACTTGGTCCTGCTAGTGAAGGCAGGAGGCTGGACTTGATGACCTTTCAAGGTTCCTTCCAGTTCTAGGAAATATGATAAAAGGATTTCCATGTGCTTCAGAGCTGCAATGAATTCTGTGAGGGGGTGGGGTGGTTATTAACACCTGCTTTTACAGAGGGGGAAAACAGAGGCACAGAGAGGTTAAGTAAGTGACCCAAGTGGCCTAGTCTGGAATAGAATCTGAGCCAAGGATGCCTTTGCTATGCTCTAACCACTTAGAAAATGTCTGACCTTGTGTTGTCATATTCTAGACCGTGTCGTCTAAGCACTGGTGTTAAGGTGGCTTAACAAAATCATTCAGCAGCAATTTCTTTCCTGAATCCCGCCCCCCCCCCCGTTTACTCCTCCTGAACAGAATATAAAACCCACCTAATAATTACCCCAAAATGGCCTGATGGAGGGGGATAAAAATTGCAGAGTTGTACATGCAAGTTTCCCGATACAACCCAGTTTCCTCCTCCCGTTGGGACCAGACCTATGTACATCTTGATGACAGCGTCTGCCTGAAAGGACTGCTAATGAGATTCTCTCCTCTGTGAAGGAGCACCCCATACACAGTCTCTATAGTAATTGCCCATATCATACATCTTCAGAGTCTCTTAATTATCAGTGGCATGTCAGCTACTGGCTTCCTTAACACAGCAGCAACCTGTAGGATGGAAGTTCCCTCATCTTCAAGTAAAGCCCATGAGGGTGAATTCATGTTTCTGCTGGCAATGAAGGGTAATTACACAGCAGCACAGCACCTAAGAAAGGCAAGAGAGGATTCTGTGCACCTTGGTGGAGTTCAAACACCTATCAGAGCCAAACAAATATGACAGGGTTTTCCTCAGCCCAAGTACAACATAAGGGTCTTCAATTAAGTGGAAATAAAGAAGAGGAAACCCTCTTCTCCCCTGGCTCTCCTCTCAGATCCAGCACGCTTCTTCCCTGACTGCCAAAATGAGCCCCACTTCTCACCCCGCTTATATCACGCTAGGGAGAACAGTGAGTTACTTACCCTGCACATCTCTGCAGACATCTGCACCTTCACCTACTCAAAGGAGAGGGTTATCCCCTCTTCTCACCTATGGACAATGTCTATACACTCTGTTCAACTGCTCTCCCAAGGCCATCATCCCTGTGGGAATTGTACAAAGCAGCACTTCCACGTGCACACAAGGGTTTTACCATGTGTATTTATTGCAGGATTGGAGCCCCAGGTCGCATCAGATCCTCCCCTAAACAAGGGCTCCAATAGCTTCAAAATCAGAACAGTTTAGCTAAGCAACCAACCAAACAGGAGGTACATGTTGGCACTGGAACGGGACTTTAGGTGTTGACGCTGGGGGGGAGGGGTCACTTTGACTCCTGTTCTTCCCTCTTTGCAACTACTCTCCAGCCCCTTAGCCAGGGCTGGCTCCAGCATTTCTGCCGCCCCAGAATTGCGACTGGCGGCGGCAATTGGGGAAAAGAAAAAAAAAAAACGCCGCAATCGGCGGCGGCAGGTCCTTCGCTCCTAGAGGGAGTGAGGGACCTGACGCCCCCGAATTGCCGCAGGTGCCGCCCCTCTCCCGTGGCCGCCCCAAGCACCTGCTTGTTAAGCTGGTGCCTGGAGCCGGCCCTGCCCTTAGCCCGTAAAAATGATCAGCATTCTCATGGGACACGTTCCAGGAAAAGGCCATGAATCCTGAGCTAATATTGATCGGGACATTATTTCCTTACCAGGAAAAGCTTAGCTTAGCAGCATTCACTGCAGTTTCCAATCCTTAGCCAATAAAGTTGCCTAAAGCACAAAGAGCTCAAGAGACTTGCCCAAGGTCACACTGTGAGTGAATGGCTCAGCCCAGATTGGAAATCCCAGGGTCTCTCTGGCTCCCTAGTCCTTCACACCAAACCATTACACCACATGGCTCCCCAAATGGAGATTTTTAGAGAAAGCCGAAAATAAATCTACAAACTTACGATCCAGGGGAACTTCGATGGCTCTGATGATATGATGAAGGTACAGAGCAAACACTACTCCTGTGTAGGTTAGGAGGTACTGTTGCATTACCATTTTGAATGTTTGGATAGTATTATGCTTCCACTTTCCTTCAATAGGGCAGGCTGGCCTCTTGCCACAGTAGCTGGTCTCCTCAGATTCTTAACTGCAAAATAAACACAAGCCACAAATTAATGAGCTGATTATAGAGCGCTCTGTATTCTTCATTTTCTTATTTTTTTGGGCCGAGGAGAGAAGCAATTTTCATCTGTTATTGTTTGTATTGGGGTAGTTCCTAGAGGCTCCAATCAGAGATCTGAGTCCTATCGCACTAGGCACTGTACATACACATAGTAAGAGAGAGTTTTTCCCCCAAAGAGCTTACAGTCTTAATATTGGAGTGCTCCAGAGATGTTAGCCCTACAGAGTCCTCTTGTATCTTCACTGACTTCCAGTCATTCGATGACATATCATCAGAATACTCGGCAAGATGTATATGAACTAAAGATTTAGAATTTAACCTATTCAAAGCGCTTTACATCAACAGTCACTACTTCATCTTCACAACACACCTCCACGAGATAGGTTAGTCACATCTTCCCCACTTTACAGATGGGGGAAAGCAGACACAGAGGAAGACAAGAAACCGGTCCAAAGCCACACCATGAGTCAGTGTCAGAGCCAGGATTAGAACTCCAGAAGTCCTGGCTTCCTGGCCTGTGCTCCATCAGATCACACTGCTCCTCTTAAATAATTTGATAGTCAAGGAATCTGCACCTCCAATCTTGCAGCAGAATCCCCCTTTAATAGGAGTTGCCTAATTTGCTATAAGAATTGCCCTAACCAGAGTTAATAAAATATACAGTTTTAAAACCTGGAGCACCTTTTAAAAAAATGCATCAATGATCAAATTCTGCTCTCCATTACACGGGTACAAATCTGGAGCAACTTAACTAAAGCATCCTCTGTATGCAACCGAGGAATACACCTCTACCCCGATATAACGTGACTTGATATAACACGAATTCGGATAGAATGCAGTAAAGCAGTGCTCGGGGGGAGGGGGGGGAGCTGCGCACTCCAGTGGATCAAAGCAAGTTCGATATAACGCGGTTTCACCTATAATGCGGTAAGATTTTTTGGCTCCTGAGGACAGCGTTATATCGAGGTAGAGGTGTATTTCCCAAAGATACACACTGAACCAAAAGCAGACTGTGCTCCTGCAATCGGATCTACACTGACTAGCCCCGATGCCTTATGCATGGATCCAACTGCAGGACTGGAGCCTTAGAGCACCTTAATGGAGTCACTCAGAAATATGGGGGACAGATTTTCAAGTGCTCAGCACCCATGAGTTCTAATCTTCAGCAGTCAGCAGCTCCTGTTGTGGCCCTTATGGCTAAATGGTGAGTTCTGAACTCTTGAAAATGTGGCCCTGAGGATCAGATAGAGGATCGTGCAAACTATTACTGTAGCATATGTCCACTGTACTTAGAATTCAAAACCCAAGCAATGATCAAAATCCAAAGTAAGAGAATTCCAAACACTTCAAGGAAAACATTCTGTTTGTACGCAGTTACTCTGATGCAAAGGCTAGAGACAGATGAATAGCGGCAAACAATTTTCACAAACCCTGACGAATTAGATACCAAACTCAGGTTTGTTATGTTCACAATCCCACTGATCATTTTCTTCACAAACATTCATCCTAACTCAACTCTGATCAGGAATAATACAGAGAAATCAGATATTCATTTCAGGATGGAAACAGGAAAATCATGCTGTGCCTGGTGACTAATTGTAAGTTACTCAGAACTAATGAATAAAGAAGAGTGAAACCAACAATTTTGTGAAGGAAAATCAATAGGATTAAAAAAAAAAAAAGGCCTGTGTAAAAATACAGAAGATGCCTCAAAAAACACCCTCCCAAAACACCCCCACCAACCAACCACATTAAATAAATAAATAAATAAAAATCAATGTCTATGTGTGAATATCAAAGAAGTGCTACATTTCACTGAAGAAAACTCTGCTGGGAACAGTTCGAAGCTCTAACGAAATCCCATGTTTCGGCACAGCTGATTGACGGTAACAATTATTCTTCTACCATTACGCTGTGTTAATACCATATAGTATGTTACAAGATAAAAGGAATATTTTTGGTCATTTATGGATCAAGGAAAGCTGAGCTCAGCTGTAGCATCTCTGTGTCAAGAAGCTTTCTGCTTTTTACTCAATTTTCCAGCTGGACTGGCTGAGGTACTGAAGGTCAAGAGACTTGCCTGGGGTCATGCAGTGAGTTAATGTCTTAGCTGGGAGCCTTCTGGCTTCTACTCCTTTGTCTAAGCACTACACCACATGGCCCTCTTCTTATGATGCTTATGACACACAGAGGAGTTTTACTCATGAGATAAATCCTGCCCTCCCTAACAGCCCTATTACTGAAGTCAATAGGCCCAGTTCTGCCCTGAAAGGCAAGCAGAGCTCTCAGTAATGCCAATGTGAGTTGTACAGATAGAGTGGAAGAAAGAACTGGCCCACCTGGAGTTGACAAGTATAAAGAGTAAGGGTCTGATCTTGCTCCCATTAAAGGTGATGGAAAAAACTATCTTAACTTCAATAGAAGCTAGATCAGACTTCAAAATGGAAAAATCCGCCCCCTGTGCAGAGGGCCAGCACAGGGGCCTATGCACCAGTCCTGTTTGGAGGGCGTAAGCAGTGCTTAGGCCTGGCGTCGAACCTCTGCATGGGTAGACACATTTCCTCCTCTCCCTCCAGTCACACCTAAGAACCATACTAAAGTCATCTGGGTTGCCCTGATATAAATGGTGGCAGAATTTGGCTCTGCATTCGAGAGATCAGCATGCTAACTATTTAGGTCTGCTTCATCTTCCCATACATAAGAGAGTCTTTTGAGGCACACAGGGTACATCTGTGAGACGCAACCATACACTGTCACATCAACAAATCCAGCACCCTCTGGCGTTTTCACACTGTGAAACATTTCAACCCCACCCGTGTTTGGTCTTTTGTTGCTTTTTTAAAAATCAGTAACATGGATTAAAAGACAAGGCAAAGGAGGATAAATTATCCCTTTAACTGGGCTTTCATAATTCATCAGAGATTGCATCGTGCCTGAGTTATGACGGTGTCTTTAATAGCGTTATAAATATTCGGCATCAGTGGTTGACGTGCAAACTCTCTCTTAGCTGTTACCCAACATTAAGACAGGGCAGCAAATAGCAGAATATCTCCAGACTTATTTCTATGTGATATTTCCTCTCTCTTTGCACAAGAGTTTCCGCCCCCCCACATGTAACCAGATGAAAGAGTGGTGAAAGGGCAAGTCATCTGGCAGACAAGGAAAGCCCAGATTCATGAAAGATAAATAAGCTGCTTCAGTTCTGGATGCTGCTACGACTTCAACTGTCCCTGAATGTTGTAAAATGCAAAGTCCATCGGGTGGGGAGGGGGGAAAGAGGAGGGGGGAAAGAGGAGGGGAGAGCAATGCCTGGGTTTAATCCACAGACTAGTCTCCCCAGGGAAGTGGGGGAGGCTTCATCCTTGGGTGAATTAAAGCTAACCTGCACTGTCCCGGAGAATGCCACCACAAGGAACAATTCAGCCACCGGCAATGGAGAGGACAACCTCTAATTTCTGTAGTTCTAGATACCACGACTAGCCGCCCACAGAAAAAGCAGCCGCTAAACGGAAGAATATTCATGAGCGATGATTAAGTTGACTTGCTAACTGCTTGTACAGGGCAGTACATGTGGGAAAACACCACTGAAAAATACACTAGTAAACAACAGGAGCAGCCATGCAGGATCTTTCCATTGCCCTCACCGCACTGCAATCTGCAGTGTTACATCAGCCTTGGTACTGCCCGATACCAAGGTACTAGGTACTAGCCACTCCCACTGAAAGCACTCCTCCTTCTAACATAGCATGGGATTATCTGGCTCCAAGTAGCTACTACCATTTTCTCAGAGGAAAGCTTTCAAATGTAGGGCATTCATAGTACTGTGCCATAGCCACCTATGAAATTCACCCCTTGTGCAGAGATCCCATCACCTTCCTGGCAAAGGTGTTAAGAACATAACTGTCAGACCATACGAAACCCATTGTCCATCGAGGCCAGTATCCTCTCTCAAGACGTGGCCAGCACCAGCCGCTTAAGAGGTGTATGAAACCTTGCATGAGGCAGTGATGGGATGATCTTCTCCCAGGACCACCCGGGGGGGAGGGGAGGAGGCAAGTGGGGCAATTTGCCCCAGGCCCCCACAAGAATATAGTATTCTATAGTATTGCAACTTTTTTTTAAATGGAAAGGGCCCCCGAAATTGCTTTGCCCCAGGCCCCCTGAATCCTCTGGGCGGCCCTGCCTTCTCCCCACATCAGGTCTCCTCCTAAATCTCTAATAAAGATAATATTAAACCCTTAAGCATGAGGTTGCATATGTCTCCCAAACTTTGTTAGCAGTAACTACTACACAGCTCATGATGAACAAACACCTGAGACCTACCAGCAAAACCAGAGAAAAATCAGGCTCCACGTGCCTGATAGGTGTTTTTTTTTTTTAAACAAAACAGGAATCTCCACCAGCACTCACCGTAGGATATCTTTAGCCACCAAAGAACTAAAAACCAAGAAAAGCCCAATTTTAAAAAAGCACTGGCAAGACTAGCAATGTGCAGGTCCGGTGCCACCGGCACAGGATTGAATTTCACCCTCAGAGCAAATAAAAGGTAGTGTATTGGCCCTAGGGCTTAATTTGTAGTGAAAGAAGTGCCAGGGCTCAAGCAATTTTTTTTTTTAAACTTTCATAAGTGATGTGGCAAGCAGAGGTGCCAGGGCTATGAACTGCCAAACCTAGAAGTGCTGGTGCTCAGCCCTGAATAGCTCAGTGGTTTGAGCATTGGCCTGTTAAACTCAGGGTTGTGAGTTCAATCTTGAGGGGGGCAATTTAGGGACTAGGGCAAAATCAGTACTTGGTCCTGCTAGTGAAGGCAGGGGGCTGGACTCGATGACCTTTCAAGGTCCCTTCCGGAGACAGGAGATCTCCATTATTAAAAAAAATTAAGCACGGATTGGCCCCCATTACCATGTAAGTATCTACCAACCCATGTTGTTTATTAAGCAGAATGATGGTGGGAAAGGCCAAGT